TGTTGTTGAAAAAATCCTGTCAAATTTTTGTTTCGTCGACAACATGGTCGTCTTTTTCAAGAATCACCAGCGAAACATAGGCGATAATCAATGAGCTCAGCGAAGCGAGAAAGATCGTAGTACGTATAGGTCGGAAGAAGAACCACTTAATGAGAAACCCAGCGTACAGTGACGGACAGATCAAACTGGATGGTTCTCTAATTATAGACAGAAGTTTGTACGTGATCTGGGGTTCAACTTGGCAAATAACATGAGGAAGGAATTAAGCAGAGGAAGAAAAGCAGCTTGGGCCTTAGTCGGGGCTCCCAAAGAAGCCACCGACAAACTAAAGAACCCTAAATGCTCACACTTCTTTCCACATTTCTATGTTCGTGTTTTTGCTTTAGTTTTGCATCTTGTCCAATATGGCCTAGTGATGTCAAAACGTTGAGCAAACAAATTCGAGCATCCTCTTTTTATAAGCAATTAAATTTGAACATAAACCCACACAAATTATTAATGGCCTTTATTTGATCAACGAACCATAGAAGATTACAGTGCTGAAAACGAAAATTGTAGCAGGCGACCTAATTTCACTGGCGATAATTACTTGAAGGCGTCAAGTGGAGCTGATCTATGCAAGACTGTCCGAGAGATGATACTTGCATACTTGGATGGCTTGCCTTCATAGGTTGTGGCGGCCCCAAGGTAACTTTCATTCGTTTCTCTTTCGCGCAGTCGTCGTCCATGATAGTGGTCTGCATCGAATACGATAACGTCCGCAATGACCATTCCGTAATCCTGAAAACAATCCCATCTACTAGTGCAGATGGTTGATGTTAACCACGAACACGTCCCACCATCGTTTGGATGCTCTTCCAAGAGGACGCTTGCATTTTCTTGTAGTCCACTCTACTGTTGTTTTCGTCCATCTGTCATGTGTCCATCTTATTAAGGTGAAAGAACAATCTGTGGAGTCGTGAATATGTGTATGTGCTCGGGACAACGCAATGAACTGGGGATAAGCAAAGAAATTGTTGTTGTGCATCTGTCTTAAATGCACATAGCACAAATGATAGTGTAAACATTGAACAAACTATTACAGAACCAAAAATAACCTTACCTCAAAGGAAACTCTGGGCGTTGATTTCAATGAGATATGCATATTTGAGTCTGTAGACTAAAATCAACATTGATTTCTTGACACTTTACGTGCGTGGCGCATTGGTCAGTGATACACCAATACACTGGATCAGCAGATGACTCGATTCCGCGCCCAGAATTCGACAAGGCTTCCATCACTCTAGAGTTAGAAAATTCGTAGCAGATTTGTTTCAGATAATAAAAACAATGACCTAATATATCGGTAGGCCACCAGAAGTTATGGGGTAGACCAGATATGCATTCGAACACCTCTAACAACATTTGAGGAAGTGGAATGCATGGCCATCCTTAAAAAATCGAACAATGCTGAGTGCTTTAAACTTTTACGCTTCAGTTTCCTGACTAGTAAGTATTAATATTGCATATTCACTTATACGGAAGATTTCGCCTTTTATCCTTTAATTTTCTGAAGAGTTAGTATTGTATGTCTACATAACTGATTCCACTCGTCACATCGTCCTCAAGAGGTTGGTTGATTAACCGCAAGATTCACTGCCATTATAGCAATCGCTGTTATCCTGCAAGAATCCGACACACAAGGCAACAAAGTCTTCTCCTTCCCATAAACCCTTACAACTGTTTGTGGTATCGACTTGAGGACATACCAGTCCCAAATTGCAGTCGAAATCAAGACCGCGCACGAGCTCACCTATTTCTTTGGATAACGACTGAAAGGCACGAAAATGAATTGACATGAATACTAACGACTTAGGTACTTTGATGACCCATATTGACATGCTACGAGGGTCCCAACATCCCTTTTCGCTTCGTTTTCTTGCAAACGTCATGCGCAGAAGTGATCAGGAGCATGTGTTATTTTGAGTGTCGCACGATACGGTGAAGGGTGGTTTAGTGTGAATACTTCTGGAATCCTCACTTTTCAAGCGATTATCACATGCTGTTGGTTAGTAGGTGTAACAAGCCGTCCTCCAACGATTTACCGCCTCATCGTGGCTGGGAGGTGTTCCTGGGTGTCGGACTGCCATGTACAGCTGGGGATTCACCCGCTGGCAGGGTCTCCCAAGCTAAGAAGGCGTTCGGCGTTTCCATTAGGAAGCCTAGCTAAGGGTAAACCAATACCAGGATCCACCACCGTCCTGGTATCAAAGTCGCATGATGGCAAATCTCCCTCTGATCCACAAAGTCTGCGACTGCCTGTGCTGGTGGAAACGTGGGGCAGACTTTGCCCAAGCGGCTCTCCTTGGGATTACAGGAAACCACATTGGCTTAACCAGCAAATCTCTGAAAAACGGTGATTGAGTTAGGGCCCGCACATACAGTGAAGAAGGACCTTTCAAGTATCGTGTACCAAGTATCGTATGCTATGCTAGACCTTGTTGATCAAATAAGAGCTTACTGCCTTACGACTATGATTCTTCTAGAGGGTCAGCGATTCCTCTTACAAAAGTGAAAGCCAATAGCTGCACGGTGACAGAACGGGAGCGTAACAAACGAAATTCAATACAATAAGCCTCAAACCAATTTCACAATTTCAAAACAGTCATGTGGGGCGGATAGCACAGTGGTGGTGATGTTCGTCATGACGAGCATGGTATTAGTTCAATTCCACTCCCGCCTAACCAAGCCTCTCCTCCCTCCGGGGTCGGAAAATTGGTACCGGACTTGTCTGGGAAAATTATAATCTCTGCAATCGAAGTGGGAAAGCTCTAGTCCTGCTATCCCAAAACTTCTAAGAGAATCGACTTGACCGGCATTCAACGACATTTAAGATCAAGTGAAAATCCCCAAGCAGCAGCCGAAGCCACATGTAAAAGTTGGAAGACCTTCTGGATGATAGTACGAGGAAACGAATGTAATGTAAGAAACGCTGGTATCAGCACAGTAGACGTGAAGGCGGGTCGTAAAAAGACAGTTATAGTTCCATAAAATTAGTTCTGAGGCGCAGAATAGGGCATTTTAATTATTGTTAGTACCGTGAAAACAAATGGCTCTTCCAGTTTTTGTGAATGAAAATCGGTATAAAATCCCTATGGATTGTAAAAAGTAGCCCAGTCATTATGACATCGGCCTCTACCCAAAACAAAACAAAGCAAACTATGTGTTGAGAAATTTGAACAGATGCAATACAAGTAGACTATCCAGTGCTAGCCTCCTCGTATTTCCTTCGACTCGTTTTTTTTCGTTTTTCTTCACTTCTTCCAACTTGATCTTCGGGCTTCACGTCAATGGGCTGTGTCATCCAGAAGAATGACGTAGGCCATAAACACATCCAACAACTGACAGAGAAGGAAATGAATAACATTCATGGACATTGTAAAGATGAGTTCAGTACTTGAGATGGATCGGAAGCGAGCTATATGTCCCCATGACATTCCAAAGAAACAACAATTCATGCAATCGACAGCTAACTCCTCTTGTCAGAACCATCAACCAATACTACCGCTGTTCTTGCGAAATCTTCAGTTATTTCCGTATTCAGGTATGATATTCGGAAACGAGGATGTCGAAATACTACATGATTGATCGAAACTATGACAAATTTTCTACAAGTCAGCTCTTACTCAACAAAACTCACGCTAGTAGAACCTCCGACACTAGTAGAGCCTGTCGGCGATGTATACAAAATAATGTCAGCTCAAAGGATTTACTACCATCATATCTTAGTTATCTGAATATAGTATAAGTGTAGCTCGCTTAAATGAACTCTTTCTGCTCGGACAACTGATTTGTTTGGACGAGGTCCTTGCGGTTGTCCGGACCTCATCTTGAAATTCCTGTCTTCTATGCTGACGTGTCTATGAGACGTCAGACATGCAGGGACGCAGAGGCCCTTGCAGGGGTGGCCACCTCGCTCCATTCTGAACCAGTCGCTCTAAAACGAAACCGTTAACTAGTAGGCTTCGTTATATCACTTGTTAGGAAACGTTTTTAAGCATTAAATACGATATACATTTAGTCTCACTACGCTAAATGTCTAGCTACTTATGTGAATCCTTATTGGACTAATTTATGATCGTTTCAGTCCTTTCTGTATGCTGCAGCACTTATGAACTTGTCAGCACTTCCGGTAGTACATGTCTGTTAACATGTTTTGTATCATACAGGTTATGAGTGAGTCTAGTCGATAGTTTTATGTGATGGAGGTAATTGCTGTAGGCATATTACTTGACCCATCCCCCCCTAGGAATTTAATGGAATCGTGGCTTAAAGAGAATCTTCGAAGATTTAATACTGGTTCACATTTAATGCTTGTTATAGAGAAGAAACGTATCACTGAGTTCTTACGCTTCTAAGGACTTCGTTTGTTTGCACTTGTTTGAGGTTTTCTTTTTTCAAAGTACTTTAAAAGAGTTCAGGTCAAGTTCCATTCATCGTCACCTTGTTTCCGGATGTAAACAGCTCCTTGGAAGTCTAGGATACCTTTGTTTAGACCGTTGACCGTGATTTTTGACTGGCTTTGGTTAAACCATGGAAAAGACACTTCACCAATCGATAATGCTTACTGTTTGTGGATACCACTTTGTGCCTTATGAGGTCGTTGCTTGTTCGATTGATGTTCATGCACATCTTAGCTTCTTTTGAGACTTACTGGTTAGCGTGATCTATGAGTGAGTGATGGTGAAAACCTAGAAGAGTATCATTTGGTCTTGAGCGTCTCTTTAAAGAGTATTGTTTGGTCTTAAGCTCTTAAGCGTTTCCTTTCATTGGCTTTCATTGGTCCGACTCGTATCCCACAACGTTTGGGTATAAAGTATTCCTGATCAACACTAAATTTCAGGCTGTATTGGTTAGAATTCTTTGTTGATAACCTCCTGCAAAGTGTGATTGTGCTTCGTCCGAAAACGATGTGTTTCCCAATGATGGGAATTCCCTCACCGCTTCTCGTCCTTACTGGAATGTGGTTAAGTAGGTTTCTGAACTGTTTGTATTTTTTTAGTCTTTTATCTCTGCAGCTTTTTTTTAGTGTTGGTATGTGCCGCTAAAGACGAACTTGATAAGCATCTCGAGCTTGGGAAGCAGTTCTTGGCAAAAGTAAGCGTTTTTTCCTGTTTTTCTTCTTACTTCGATCTGGGTTCTCGTAGTAAATCCTTTCAGGGACAGTTTGCTGATGCTCTTACTCATTACCATGCTGCAATAGAGTTAGATCCAAAGAATTATCAGACGTTATATCGAAGAGCTACCGTCTATCTCGCAATGGGCAAGAGTAAAGCCGCTATTCCGGACCTTGACAAAGTCGTCGAATTGAAAGGAGACTTCACATCGGTATGTTTTGCTTTCTAAATCAAGACTTTTTTTGTCCAAATATTGATATTTACACTTTTTGAATAATATTACGACAATTAACCTCCCAATGGTTTACCCCTTGATCATGGCTGGGAGGTAGGTGTTCCTGGGTGTACGGTTACGATGTACTGCGGAGCGATTCATATCCCCGGCCTCCCAATCTGGGAAGGAGTCCTGCGCTTCCCTCAGGAAGCCTAGCTAAGAGTAAACCAATGCCATGATCCACCACCGTCATGGTATCAGACTAGTCGCATGGTGGAAAACCTCCCTCTGATCCACAATGGCGGCGACTCCTTGTGGTGGTCATGACCTAGGGTAGACTTTGGCTAGGCTGATCTCGGGTCTCCAGGGAACCACAATAGCTAAACTAGCAAAACATCGACGAGAAAATGAAAATTATGATGGGGTCCGCGCAACTAGTTAGGATGTGCTATCCAAGTATCCAAGTAAGTAGGTAGTGTGGCGACAAGAGACCCATATCCATTAGGTATTCAATATTTTATGAACTTCGTTCTACAATGAATGCTATTTATTTGCAACGGCTTTTGTCATTTAAAGGAAAGAAGTTAGTCTTTCAGGCTAGAATCCAACGTGGAAATGTCCTTCTCAAGCAAGGAGAAATTGATGCTGCTGAAAACGATTTTAATGCTGTGGTGAGTATTTGCATCAAAAAAGATGTTTTTGTAACTTACTACACCTTGGCGACTCCTGATTTTAGCTATCCGTCGAGAATTCGAATACCGAAGTCGAAAATAAACTAGACCTTATCGTTGATCTTCGCCAATATCTTCATCAAGCCAAAACGCTCTTCGAACGGAAGGATTGGCATTCTGCGGAACACTACTTGAATAAAGCACTAGAGGTATATTTCACTTTGCTCACTTAGTGATCAACAGCGGTTATGTTATTATTGTTAATATTATCGTAATTTTTATTATTACTATTATTAATACTAGCATTATTAGCATCTTGTCTGGGATCCCTCGCTATATCGACTTCGAGCACAGTGTTACGAAGCCCGAGGTGAGATTAGGAAGGCCATCGCCGACATGCGAACTCTTACAAAGCTAGTAGCGGATAGTACAGAAGATTTCTTAAGGATATCTCATCTCTACTACGGTATTGGAGATGTAGAAGAGTCGCTGTCGTACGTGCCCATCATTTCCCACTTTTATCCATCACATTTCTTTTTCTCTTGTTCTTACGTTAAGCTTTTTTTATTTCTTTTTCAGTCAGATTCGTGAATGTCTGAAATTAAACCCAGACCATAAGGAGTGTTTCTCGTTTTATAAGAAGGTCAAGAAGCTTGCAAAAATGAGAGGTTTGTTGCCAGTTTTTCAACAGATACTGCCACGAAGTTATTACACTATTTATTCACAGTAGCTGACGCTTCGGAAAATTTTACCTGCTTTAGAACCTCGAAAACTCATGTTCATTGCAGGCTAGTCTGCCAAACATTCCCATAGCCTCGATAGAAAAACCCAACACATGAATTTCAATCGAATTAGGTATCAGTTTGTTCACATACTCGGGGTATTTTATGAGTCTTCTACTCAAGATGCTTTTTTTGTGAGTTCTTCATTAAGGCGCAGAGTTTTTTGTTGAAATTATGGAACTATTTGGCCTTTCCTGGCTCCGATGGAGGTGAAATATGTCGAAACACCAGCTATTAAGTATAAATGGTGTAGCAACAACCTTGTGTCTTTTCATCAAGAGAACAGACTGTTGATTCAGTGCAGAGTCGAATGAATGAATAGAAAGTCGGTTGTCGGAATTACTACTGCCATAAAGTTTCTATGGTCTGGTTGCAGAATCTTTAATTGACGCGAAAGGAAATGGAAATTGGTTGGATTGTATTGAGAAGGGTCAACAAATTCTGAAATATGAGAGCTTAACAGAAATCCAGATGAGTGCGTTCCGACATATGTGCAAATGTAACACGGAGGTTAAGGCTATACGAACGAGTTCTGCTTATTGATATGTATTTGTTGTAAAGCATTCTATCTTATAGCTGGGTCATCTTGCCGAAGCTATTGAGCAGTGCAGCGAAGTGTTGAAGAATAGCGATCCAAGTGACGTTGATGTTCTTTGTGATCGAGCGGATGCATACTTGCTAGACGAACAATACGATGAAGGTATGACAACCGATTTTCCTTGGTCGTTGTTCACATTTTCGGCTAAAACTTTGATGGCTCGTCCTCACTGGTTGTGAGGACGCCAGGTCCTTAGTTCAACCAGGCCAAACTCTGTCCCAGGTAGTCAACACCACGGGGAGCCGCCACCTGTATGGACTAGAAGGAGATTTGCCACCATGTGACGAGTTTCGTACCAGGACAGTGACGTATCCTGCTAGTAGTTTACTCTTAGCTAGGTTTTCTGATGGAAAGGCTGGACTTTTGAGTTTGAGTTCTCTTTTGAGTTTTGGAGACCCTGCTAGGGGATGAATCCCTCCGATGTACATTGTAGCACAACATCCAAGAACACTTTACAGCCACGATGAGGCGGTAAACCGTTGGGAGGTTCGAGCGAGAATATAACAGATATTTATGACAATGTGTTTTTAATACAAGCATCAACTAGAGGTACTCGAATATAGCTTAGAATGTTTGAGCTTCATTTGAAAAGCGCGAGTACACAAGTAAAGTTGTCCTGAGCGCTTATTTCAGCCATTGAGGACTTCCAAACTGCTCATCAGCTACAAGAAGACAATAGGAGAGCTCGGGAAGGTTTGGAAAAAGCGCAGAAAATGAAGAAGCAGGCGGGTAAACGAGACTACTACAAAATTCTTGGCTTGAGAAGGTGAGTGTTCTGCATCCAACTTTTTTGGAAAATATACTTATTTCAAAGATCGATAGAACTAGCTGAGAGTCAGGCGAAACGAAGGACCTGCATGGTGTGGCGGTGAAGTCGTTGCTACCCGGAGAGGACAATAGCGCGTTCGTTCCCCGCCGCAGACACCTGCGATCTGGAGTTTTGAAGATATCTCAGCATCATTGAAGTTATATTTCGTAATATACCTTGCCGTTAAAAAGAGTGGCCAGTAAAGAATAAGTTAAAAATACTTATTTCAGTTTATGTGAACACTGTTAGTGCCATTTTAATATTGATTTTCTCTCATGCATTTATATATTTGGGCAGTTCGACAAAGTGAAAGTTTCATGTGAAGAAAATGCTTATCTGCATGCTAATTTTAATGTTTCAGGAACGCAAGCAAACGCGACATTACGAAGGCATACAGGAAACTGGCTCAGAAATGGCATCCGGATAATTTCAGCGACGAGAAAGAGAAGAAGAAAGCCGAGCAGAAGTTCATCGACATTGCTGCTGCTAAGGAAGTCCTTTCTGATGACGGTAAAGGGGTCGTTTTCCAACATTCTTGGTTTTGACTGTGTTGTTTCTGATTTCACTTTGCAGAGAAACGCGCACAATTCGATCAAGGGATCGATCCTCTCGATCCTGAAGCGCACCAAGGAGGCGGGTCGCATTTTCACCAAGGGTTCGTAGCACTGTTTCTCTTTCTAGCCCTTCCTCACCTTAAGAATGGCAACCGAAAATCGCCTTTTATTACATGTTAAAATTGCAGTTTTTTAAAATGGAAGCCACTTATTGGCCGGATTTACACTTTTTTTGTCTGTGTTTCCAGGTTTCCCGGTGGCTTCATGTTCCGAGAAGGTGGCGGGCCGTTCAGCTTCAAGTTCCACTTTTAGAACTGGTTCTGTCTTACGATATCTTAAGAAGTTTTTACCATTCGATCTTCCTCATATGATTATCCTATTGCTTAGTGCCAGACGTGTTGTTACTGCCGAAGGCATTAATATAGCGTCACGTGTCTCGATGGTGGTATAATCAGGCTTTAGTTCCTTTTGTTTTTTGTTGTTAAGTTAATGGTATTTTTGTTGCGAGTATCGGGATTGGTAGCTGTTTCTTGTGTTCTGCTACAAGCATTACATGTTTCACGGCGTGCCTGTTATTTCCTTTTTGATTTATTCATGCTAGAAGTTGATTGTAACTATGTTAAACCTATCATCTCTGTGTGCTATTTTTTGCGCCCAGTGACAAATTCATGTTATCATAGCTGATAATGCACTCTGATTTCATTGTTCACGTGGTATCCTTCCGTTCTGTCGTTCGGTGTCGAGGCCACAGTTATCTACTGCTGAGAATGGGTATATTGCTTTCTTCATTTAGTATCATTATTACTTTAAGAATGGAATGTCTTATGGATTGTGTCCTCCCTTGAGTTCAGTGTCATCGTGTTCGTTCGATATTATGTGCAATATTTGATTGGTGGGTCAAGGGGCAGTGATGTGACCTATCTCTCTGATAAGGCTGTGCCTAGGATTTCGCTTTCGTAAACCGTAGTCATCATCTCTGAGCGAATCTACAAGTTTCCGTTCTCTAGAACTTACATTTCAAAATAAGAAACCAAACCCAACACTTGTTTTCCACGTGGGGTGACTCATTTCTTGTCACTTTTCAATACTTCCGTTTGAGCACTGGTCAGTTTGCGTCCGTTCAGTAATGAAGAGATTTCATTTTACACAGTGTTGTTCTTGTTGGTGTCCTAGTGAATCTTAGCCCTGTCATTCCCTTCAGTGTTCATTGATCTAGGAATAAGTGATAAAATCATGCCGCAGATGTTTTTGAGAATAAAATATCAAGTGGTAAGCATGTTAGTTGATAACTGAGGTGAGAAATCCTACGAGTTACGCTGTTGGCTGTCTTATCGGTTCGTTGTAATGATATTGATCATCGTCGGTACGTTTAGTAACAGTGAAGGAATCTATAGGAACAGTCGCTCTGCTAAATCATTTCTTAGGTAGCAACTCCACGTGGCTCGACGTTTCATGCATCGGAAACAATGCACATCTTGTTGTTAGTACTTCAGTCAGTGATAGATCTGATAAGTTCTACAGCTTCTAAAGTATATTTTTTTATGCTTAATTGGTGCTAAGTGAAGACAAGGACTTAAGCATTGACGCTGGCAAACTTACCAAACGTATGAACCGTTCTGCATTTGCCTTAGATGTCTTATGTATGAGAATTACATATAGATGGCGATGAAGGCAGTGTGTTGTTGTGAACAGTCGGTCGCTTTCCTAGTGTGGACGTCTATCTGTTTTTTGTAAACACAGCATTCCTCCACAGCCTTGTTATGTTTCTGGTTGGTAATTTCTCGTATTTACATTTAGTAACTCTTACTTGTTTCTAAACATTTATGACTGTGTGTTGCACCAATCCTATCATCGAAAACAAGTAGCTCAAATCGAGTTCTCAGCATTGGTTCTGAAATTCACTGGTTTTTTCGTTGCCAGAAAGGTTGGCAGCGTTGTTCGTTCAGAGCGATTCGATTCTTTTTTGAATTGTATCATTGAGCCATATCTATCAAGTTAGTCTATTTGAACGTAACGGTAGCTGTTCTTATCAGTTCGCCTATCTCCGGAATGAAAGCCATTGAATTGACATGCATGTTTGGGACAAAATGACAAAGATTAAAGATTAGAGAATAATTCGTTTATTGAAGAGAGGAAGTAACCTAGTCTAAGTGCGGAAAGCCTCCGTTTGACGCAACACAGGTCTTCGCTATGATCTAGGAAGACCATCGTACAGCTACCTCGTCTGCTTAGCGAAAAAGGGGGCCGCCTATGTAGTACACAATTTTTGATGACATCACTCGGAGTATTCGAGTTTATTAAAGAAAGTTTCAAATGAAGTCGAAGTTCAAGCCCATTTCTGTCAACTGATGTAGTTTGAAGAGGGCAAAAGAGCCTTTTTTCTTTCATCTTCTCGATTTCCGAGCATGTTTTTGGTTGTCCCCGGAATTTCTGTATGCGTTTTCATCGTAGGTTTGTCAATTTCGTTCTCCTATGTGCTTAATCGTTCTCATTATTGCAGTCTACTTCCGAAAACATGCTCTCTTACTAACTAATATTACTAGCAATGCAGTACATCATCGCCGTAGACGTCGGCACGACGACGATCCGTGCCTGTCTGTACGATGACAAGTGCCGGTTGGTCGACGTCGCTTCAGATAAGGTTTGTTGGGTTTATGCTTTTATCTCTCGTGACCGGATGGTGGCTGTAGTGCAATTGCACAATTATCCTTCGCTGCTTTGAAATTTGGTATAATATGGAAATGTAAACATTTATCTTTTCATTGACAGGTCAACATGAGGTTGTTAAAAGGAATAAATAGTGATACAATGTAATGATATTGTAATAAAATAACAGATGTATAATAATAATACTTGGTTACGTGGATGGTCTGCCTTCACTGGTTGTGCGGACACCAGCATAATTTCTATTCTCCGGAGATTCCGTGGTCTCGACGACAGCCTGACCAGAGTCTGCCCCAGTCATCATCGCCACAGGCAGTCGCACCCCTTGTGGATCAGAGCGAGATTTGTCACCATGCGACTGGTTTGGTACCAAAACTGTGATGGATCTTGGTATTAGTTTAGTCTTAGTTGCGCTTCGGACTTCGTCATGAAAATGCTGGACTCCTCAGCTTGCAAGACTTTCCCGGGGATGAGTCCTGTACATCGCAGCCCTACACCCAGGAATGAGGTGAAGCGGTAAACCGTCAAAAGAGTTGCGATGGTATTTGTAATAAATAGAAAAATTGAAGTGGAAATGATGCAAAATTCCTCATTTAAAAAGAACTATGCAATAATAATATAGAAAAGGTATAGCTCTCGGCGTTGATCAATCTCTGAGGAATGCGTCAAACAGTCGACTTCATTAAGCATCGTTGGAGGTGACTGAATGCATACATGACCTTCAAATGAATCGTGGTTGCCTGGCGACGTATCGAGCCAGTGCTGTTATCCTCCCAAGTAAGTTTGGTACCAGTCTGTTGACCCTGATAGGATGGAGGTCGTGATGGACCTAGGACGAGGGATTGATCCCTTGCGTATTGCAGTGCGCCTCCGACCACTGCACTTGACGTGCCCCTTAATAATAATGTTAATACAATATTATGAGATGCAAGAAAATGGAATATAGAAGTACAACTTCTCTGATTATCCTGAATAAGTTTTAGCGATCTTGTCAGAATCCTTTGTTTGGGGAAAAATGGCATTTATGTACGGTAGACCATTGTTAATTTGTTTTTTAAATCACTATGTTTTATTTGCGAATCAGAAGGGAATATTTTTAAAACATATTGGCAACCATGCACATTGATTTCAGTGCAGGAATTGTTAAACACGGATGAGATTTCCAACTTTAGGTCGAAATGTTCCAACTTTTGGAGAACTTTGTTATTTTGAATAAGAAGGCATTAGAATCAGCAGATGTTTGCTAATAAAATGCAGGTTTACTTCTTTAACTGCAACCAAATTTTGATTTTCTGGTGGAAATGTTAAATAAATGATATATATATATATATATCCACAATGTTGCTGAGATATTTGCAAAACTCTGGACCGCAGGTGTCTATGGTGGGGAACGAACGCGCCTATTGTCCTTTCCGGGGAGTGACGCGTTCACCACCACTCTATGCGAGTCCTTCGTTTCGCCTGTCTCTCAGCTATAGCTACAGATATATGTATATGTATATGCATATATATATATGTATATATTATATTTGATATTTATATATTATATATATTTGAGGTAGAAGGGTGCGTGTAGCAGTTTTAGGAGGCACTCTGCATTACATATGGGATCGTTCCCGGCACCCTAGGCTCACCATGCCTTCTATCCGTTCGGAGTCGGCAAGTTGATACCAGACTTGTCTAGGAAGAAAGCAGCAGTAGCGTGATACATCGATAGGCCACTGCGAGTCATTGTGAATGCCAGATATGGATTCAGTCACCTCAACCATGCGTAATGAAATCGATTGCATGGCGCATCCTTCGGGGATTGATCAACAGCGAGGACTGTATCCTTTTATTTTATATTTGAGACAGAAGATGAAATAAAAATGTTCCTTTAGAGAAAATCATGCATATTCGTAGAGTTTCAAGCTCACGAGTATTCTAGTTATCGAATAACGACCTACGGTTGTCAGTGCCATCATTCGTTTCGAAAATGTCCTCATTATCTGTTCGAAATTTTTTCCAGTGAGTTTCAAATATTAGATGTAAACTGTCTACACACTCATTTCTTATATTAATGATATGCATATTGCTATGATACTTGTGATACATGTCTATTTTGGAGCAATTTTTGGCCTCATCGGCTTTTAAAGTTCTTTTTTTAGAACTACAATTGACTCTGCACCTTCATATGCACATATATTCTTTGGAGTGTTGTCATATATTACATATCTTGCTCTGAATATATTTGTCAGGTGATGAAGTTTAGATTCAAGTGGAAATCTCTGGAAATGGTGAACTTCGGGTAGAAATCGACCCTGATGTGCTGTTCGATCAGTTCATTCAGGTTATATCCTGTGTCTGTAAGTGAGCCATGCAGAGATTTTTACTGAATACCACCACAAACTGGTCTCCAGTTCGTGTATTGTGAATGTACGAAAAGCTTTGGGATTGCTTATGACGTAGTTTAGTGAAGCACTGTGAGGAATCAGACAGTGTATCATTGGCACTGTGCACGCAAAGGAATTCTTTCCTATGTTGGAATAAGTACGTTCAATCGTTTCCTTCTCCTTAGCCAACTTTTTTGCTTGCAGTAATTGAAAAGGAATTACTAGTATTCAGAGCAACGAGCACTACCTTGACGAAGATCATCTGCTGGAGCGATGGCCGGGCTAGAGCAACATGCATTCAGTGGAACAAGTCTTTTTGTGTAAAGGTACAGGCATATTTACCTTGTAATTATAGTGGTATTGTAAAACGAAGTAAGATGAAGTAGACCTTTTAAACTTTAACTATTTATTCTACTAAGCGCCAATCATATTAGCGAGACGTTTAAATATATTTCTTGATACTTGACACTTGAACGTCATCACTAGTTGTGCGTACCCCAGTGTAATCGCCATTTTTCGGCGATTTGCTGGTTAAGCTATTGCTGTTATCTGGAATCCCGAGGACAGCCTAGCCAAAGTCTGCCCCAGGTCGTCACCACGGCAGGCATTCGCAGCCCTTGTGGATCAGAGGGAGATTTACCACCATACGACTTTGATACCAAGTCGGTGGTGGGTCCTGTTATTAGCTTACCCTTAGCTGAGTTTCCTCATGGAAGCGCAGTACTACTTCTCAGCTTGGGAGGGCCTGCCGGGGAGACGAGTCTCCCCTTGTACATCGCAGTCCGACACCCAGGAACACCTCCCAGCCACGATGAGGCATTAAACCGTTGGGAGGAAATGTATTTCACTATTGAGTAAACGTGGAATAGTTCGGAATTAGAATAGTTGCCATCAACAGTTGAGATTTTATCCTCCCAGTTTACCGTTTCAGCAACCGTTCTTTGGTGTCGAGATTGACGATCAGCAGAAATTTATTTTTTGACGTCACTGACACCAAGGAAGAACAACTTATAAGTAGTCCTGTCTCTGAAACCGAAGTTTTTTGTTTCACATATTGTAAGACAGTCAGCGGCAGACGACGAAATATGTAGTTTTGCTAGTCATCTAAAAAGGTATTCTCTGAGATATAAACTATTAGTGGAATTGTTTTTCACTCTTCTGTTGTCTGCCTTATCGAATCTCGCTTACCTTTATCTTCCACAGCTGCCTCCGAATTTAGTGAATGTTTGAGTGGATTAGAATGCTATCGTGCACCACAAAGAGTTTCCCCGGTAATTGCTAATCCTGGTAAGAGTGCGCTTTAACACTTGGAGTAGGCGAGTGAGAGGAAAATTTGGCCTTGGGTCGGAGTTTTGCAAATTTGTCAGCGTCGTTGTGGTAGTATCTCGCATTATGCACCCTACTAAAATTTCATATACTTTCGTCGTTAAAGGCCGTTAGAACATCAATCTGAAAACTTATTTAGGCATTAAATGTTATCGGTGCTGTGTTATACTTCTTGACACGTAATCCACGATTCAAGGCTGCTCGGATGCTGAAATTTCTCAGTTCGATGGTCTCGCATCGTGTTATGGTGACCATTCAACAGGTTAGCGGAGCGTTTTTGTGATATTGTTTATCTCAGATCGTTAAGGTGTTGAACGTACTATGATCTTACAAAAGTACATGAGAAACCGATTCGAAATTTTCTCTTTCTTTTTGTTTGTTAGTTTGAGTATTTCGAATATTGTATGTCTTAGGCTTCTATTGTTGTTTCATTAGGCTGTCCGGAAATTAATGTCCGATTTCAACCTGTGTTGTCAGAGTTGCATATCTCAGCTTTATTAATCGGAATAACCATTAAAATCTACGCATTATTCCCAACGACGGGCCAGTTTATTTATATCAGTTTCTTAATACTCCAGCGTTTTGGAGGTGACGATGTCCTTGAAGCCAGTCTCGAGCGCGGTTTGGTTTCTGAACCATTTTTCGCATAATAACAAGTTATTGAGATGCTTCAAGAATTGGTAGTCGGTCACCCGGATCCAGGAAGCCATGGCGGACTAAGCCAGCTGTAGACCACCAAACGGTCATCATGACCTTTTCTTGAGTATAATTTCGGCTTTGAAAGTACTACGGAGGTTCATTGCTGTCCAGCTACTGTGCCGACCACGGCCGGTTGTTGTAGACGATGTAATTCTAGGTGGACGTCAAACAACGCCTGAGAAACGAGGCGTTCTGGTTGCGAGAAAGAAATGCCGACGATCCCTCAAAACCGATGTCTTTGATTGTCGTTCAATTCGTGCAGCATCCATTTGTCGACCTTACTCGGTTTTCCATTATTGTTCAGGTCCTACGAAAGAGTTGAGATCCTTACTTCGGGTAGTTTTTCAAGATCTCGAATAGTTGTTCATCCCTTTGCTTCCACCAAACTTCAACTCGTCATCATCAGAAGGAGAACGACGTCCATGACCTTCCTCGTCTTCAAGGTCGAATTTGCAACGATGAAAGTCTCTAAATTAGCGTTGCAGTGTCCGTTTGTTAACAATTCCTTGGTTATTTACTTCATCAATGTTTTGGGCCGCTGCACTACGTCCTAGTTTGGATCCATAAAGGAAGGTTTGTCGAAATTGCTATTGAAAATTTTATGCCATAATTTTACTAAACAGATACGAAATACATAAAATAGACTTTGCAGTGATGTATAGTAATATACTGTTCAGAAAAATAGCTATTGCAAAAACTTGTATAATAGATAATCAGTTGTTAATTTCGAAGTAGTCCAACAACCTTTTATGTGCCATATTTTTCATGTTTGTTCGTTGAAGGTTTACTCATAATTTTATGTGGCAGATATATTTCAGAACGTTCGATTTCAAAGATTCCTATGCAGCTAGGGAGAATGTTGTATTCATTGGTTTCACGGTGCTTTAAGTAGTTCGCATGCATAACTGAACAAGCTTGTAGAAATACAGCGTGTACATCTCACAGTATAAGTTCAGCTGGACGATTGATTTTTCGCAGAGGATTGAGCATGAAAGGTGAATTCGGATTGCACTTAACAAGTAGTGCTGCGGTGCATTCTACGAAAACCGGCCGTTTATTCACGAATCCTTTCTATCTTTGAATATTGAGCACTCGAAAAGCTGTGTATTACTCTGCAGTACCAAAACCAATCATAATCATATCAGTTTCGTAATTTTAGAGAAAGTTCGCATACACGGAGTTGGGAACGACGAAAGGTGTGGGAGTTATAAAAAGTTCAAGATCAAGGTCGTGGTTTAATGCGGTACAGTTTTAAACTAGAACATCTCTCTGCCTTTTTTTAGGTAGTCGAACGCACATGGCACATGATTTCTTCTGTGATCGTTGAGTCAATAAGTCGTTTATGAGTTTAATGCTAAGAATTAACTAGGCGTAACGACGAACGTAAGCAATAATATGTATAGAACCATGCAAAATTGGCTCAGTCTTAGAAGTACGGGGTTTTGTTTTATCCGGTATTAGCTCAGTTAATGTTTCTATGTTGTTAGTTGTTCACGTTTTTCAGTCGATGACTCTGAAGAATTTACTCGAGCTTGACAAATTAGATTTCGGCTGTCTTGAAACATGGCTTCTGTGGAGGTTGACCGATGGTAATGTGCACATTGCTGAGGCATCTAACTGCTCGTCGACTGGAATGTTTGACCCATTCATAGTTAGTTTTTATCTCTTTGTCTTCGCTTTTTTATCAAGTTTTTTTTTTTGTTAAAGTAGCGTAGGAAGCTCGCCAATTTGTGAGATTTTGTTCCACAGAACTTTGAGGGGTGCAAATAATTGTAATAATTTCCATATACTTACTTGACTTAATACTTGAATGGCCTGTCCTCACTGGTTGTGCGGGCCCCACCATAATTTCCATTTTGTCGTCGGAGTTTTACCAGTTTAGCCATTATGCTCCCTTGGAGTCCCGAGGTCAGCATGGCCAAAGTCTGCCCCAGGTCTTCACCACCACGGGTAGTCGCAGACCTTGTGGTTCAGAGGGAGATTTGCCACCATGCGACTTTGATACCAGGACGGTGGTGGATCCTGATGTTGGTTTACTCTTACCTAGACTTCCTGATGGAAAGTTTGGCCTCCTCAGCTTGGGAGACCCTGCCGGGGGGATGAATCTCTCCGCTGTACATCGCAGTCCGACACCCAGGAACAACTCCCAGCCACGATGAGGCGGTAAACCGTTGGGAGGAATAATTTCGATATTCGTCATAAAAATTTAAATTTTAGGTCTAGGCAAATCGATGTCCTTACATAGCTGAGTAGAATTTTTCAGAATGACTACAACATGGTAATACTGCGAATTATGGGTTTTCCGACAATGATTCTACCTCAAGTGGTTGACTCGGCCAACCATGCGAGACCACTAGGTCATGTGGCACAGCGATTGTTCTCTCGGAATATACCGATTTATGCCGTGGTGGTTTCCTTATATGTTCTGTTTTGTAGACATTTATTGTTATGTCTTTATTTACATGCGGAAACGGTTTTGTTCTCCACGTTAGTTGCTTGGATAGTTTGGTGACCCGTCTCCACAAATAATGGAGTCCCCATCGTATCCAGCATATGTTTCTTTTTTATCCAATTGTTATTCATTGTAGTGGTCTACTTTGATCATAGGCAGTCTAGGAAGTTCTTTCCATGATCCATACATCGACTGAAGCTGCAACTGAAACTTGTAATATTAATAGAACTAAAGAACTATAGTGAACCATAATCGAATATTATGAAGGTGACAACTCGGAACTAATGTACTCGTTATATGATTGGTTTTCGTAAAGCCAAAGTCTGATGTGAGTCGGTTTGCTGTCATATGTAACGATCAATCGAGCAGCGTTAGCTCATATCAACTCATTCTATTCCCTGTCAAAGGGGTTTTTGCCATATTCAATTAATAGCCTACTCAGGACGAATCGTTGTAGCAAGTATCTCGCTATAAAAAGCCATTCTGTGCTTTATAATACCTAAAATTGCTGATTAAGCGGGTTCAGGAATGGTAAGAGCTTCACAGATGAGGAGGGTGCTAGGATGTTCCTGGGTCGCTTAGAGTTCTTCGGCGACTGATTGCTTTTTGCAGCGAAAATGAGGGTGTACATATCTCCTTGGATTAAGATCGGCTGTTATGAGTTGGTTTAAATTCTCTGCGCGTGTGGAGAAAAATTAGCTTTTGACTAGATGCAGCAGCCACAAGAATCTTGGTATCCGTCTTTAAGGGCTAAGCTTGGTTTTTAATTCAGTTTCACACGAATTCTTATAAAATTAGAGATGTTTAGTTGGCTGATCAACAGTCAGCATTATATGGAAGTGGAGGTTGGAGGAGAGGAGATGTCAAGGTTTGAAATATTTATCTATAAATTATTGTTGAACGAATTCATCTTCAAGTTTGCAAATAGTTGATTTGTTCCTTTATGTCCTTTGTATTATTTTGGATCACACCAACTACAATGATATCGCACGTTTTTCTTATCTAATTCACGAGAGTGTATGGAGCCCAATACACACTGAATTGATCGCTGATTTAATCTTGCGCCATGGATTAACTAAGCCACCCATCCATTCAGATTCGGAAAGGTGGTACCAGTGCTGCATGATGATAGAATAATTACACAGATTTGATGTATATATGTATATACATATGTATTTCCATACATATATGCGTATAATTGGACACTTGAAATTCATTGTGTAGTCCAGATATACATTCACGCACTTCTAGGTTGCTTAGTGGAGTTGAGTCCATGGTGCATTTATTCCATGCTGATTGTTTAGTGCTGTATGCTGGACTCTTTTTTAGATTACTAGGACGTTGAATATAGACAACGAGTATTAAAAAACAAAATATTCACGTAATGAGTTTTAAATGGTGGCCTTCTTTATCGTTTTGGTAAAAATTTAGTAGAAACCCAAAAGATGCTCAAAATGAGTTATGCTATCCTATTTTGCATCCATAGTAAATTGTATTTATGTTGAACTTGTGTTCTGTTGCTAACCATATGCTGAGGGAAAAAACGATCAATTGTTGTCATATAAGAACTCAACTTGCTTGTTATACGCTATTTAGACATTCCTGTGTACTACTCTTTATTGAAGTGTTTCCACATGGATAGGCTTAGCTGTGGTACCGAGTTGAAAAAAATGATCAGTAATATAGATATAACATTTTCGGTGAGGAATGTGTAGAACGCAAATTCATTCATTGTTTCAGATATCTCTTGGAACGGGAACGTTTGTCGATATGAATACTGGTAGCACCATTCACGCGTCGATGACTGGTATGTGATGCCTATTTTGCTTCTTAGTTTTCAGTAGTTATTTTAAGGTTTGATCAGTGGCAGTCTTCCTTTTATAGAAATTGAGTACTCTTTTGTAATTTAAGGATTGTACCCTTTGGTAGCATGGCGTGTTGAAAACGAACCCGTATTCGTTGCTGAAGGAAATAATCATGCTACAGCAGTAGTGCTTAAATGGGCTGAAAGTATCGGTAAAGTTTATTTATGGATATTCTTAAAGGCTTTTTAGTTCAGCGTTATTAGTGGAAGTAGCATTTAATGCAAAACGCTAAGGATGCACTAGGCGTTTGGTGCGAAAATAATCGTTGCTTTAAGGTTTGATTTAACTTATCTTGAGCCATTTTGAGCTTAACTCATTGAAATAGAAGCCGTTAAAATATGAAAATTTGTGCTCATAACCTGCAAATTCTCTTATTCTTCCAACATTGAATTCTGGTTATCTGGATTCCACGAAACATTTATTTCACTTTTTTCTGTTGCAACTCGTAATTCCCGAGCACAAAAGCGATTTAGACAAGTGTTTGTATTGTTGAGCTTACACGAGATTGTTAGAGATGTTTATTCCGCTAACATTTCGACGTCTTCGTCTTGATCAGAGCCAACGAACCTTGTCGATGGTCCACAGTTGTTTCTCTTCTCGATGTGGCGTTTTCATCTCGCATTGAACCAGATCTTCCTGAGTTGAGCATCTCGAATGAGCCGAACACACTCGGCGCCGCTCTTTATCGCTCTCTACCCCAAGCATATTGAAAATTGAAAAAGAGTTTTGTAAATCTAGCTATACAATTGAAGTGAAAGAGCCTGTTCTATAAGCCTATGAGCTTCTGAACTTCACAAATACTCCAGTGATCGAGAATTTATCGACAGTTCTCCAAAAATCACTTTCGGTTGTTTTGTTTTAAACTATTCTTAACAGCGATCTATGAAGTACTCCTACCGACCAGTCAGTGTGATGCGCAAAAATGTAGTTGCGGTATCACAATGTCTTAACGTGTATTTCCTGCCTATTCTTTTCCATGGCAGAGTACTATGTGGGATTCAACCACAAGAATGCTAAGAAATGAGCAAAACTGGGGACTTCAACTAGGCTTCGAACCCAGGTATGAGATGTTCGTGAGGTCGAAATGTAACTGACGTTTCATGTTTGGCCTATATCTCAACATCCTTATGTTATTTGCGGCTACTTATTTCTTGATATAGGACCTCCATGGTGTGGTGGTGAGCGCGTTAGCCCCTGCAAAGGGTAATAACGCGTTCGTTCCCCACCGCACACACATGTGGTCCGGAGTTTTGCATATATCTCAGCATCGTTGTGGTTGTATCACATACAGTACTCTGCCGTGAAAAATAGTATTAGGCAGAAGATAGAAAATTAACGTCTTGAGATAGTGTTCTTATAGGGAAAGCTCTTTAGCCTTCGTTTTTCAGTTGCGGTTCATTTGTTATAACACGTTTTCCTATTAGTTATTTTTCTTACTATTGTTGCTCCGACCATCACTATGACTAGGTGGAAATGACATTGCTAGCGCGGTTTTTGTGTGAATGTCTCCCATGAACACCCATAAAGATCTGCTTTTCCATGTAGCGCTCTAAAGGTTTTTGCAATGGGTTTTTGTTTTTCTGTGTTTGGTTTATCACTTGATTCTATTCACTCAGGCTAAACAAAGAGATCACAGTTTTCGTGGTTTTTCGAGACCATTTGCCGTTCTTTGCGATTGCATTACACATTGAGGTGTTTGCTTTCAAAGTGAGGGTTTGTGTGTAAGCATGATAGTCTTGAAGCTTATTTCTTGGAGGTAACCTTGAATACATTTCATATAGCTGTAAGTCACTTAGTTGCAAGCATGAGACCAAATCAACGTGTTGTACGAAGTGGGGAACCATAAAAGCGCATTGCCGCATACAATTAATGTGTTACATATGTGTGGCGAAGTATAAGCAAATCCAACGAACCGAAGACAAGGAGCTTATCCCATGCACACCTACATCTCAGAATATATATATATATATATATAT